GAGAAGGCTCTCCTCCGCGTAGTCGCCAGTCGGCACTGACTGGCGGAAGGCATTCGGGGGGGGGCTACCCTGTGCGCTCTGATGGGACGCAGGGAGGTAATTGGCAGAAGGCGGTCTCTCAAATAGCCAGATCCACTACCATGGAGCGCTTTGTGGTTGTCATGGTTTGAAAATAATTTTAAAGTATACAAGAGACAGAAAGACTCAATTGGGCAACCTTCCTTGGTAGTACAATGGTTTTGTCCTTGTCCATTGCTATGGGAAAATATAATTTCAACCAGCCATTTAAAGACAAACTTTCGATGGATTTTTAAAAGGCAACTTGAGAAATGTGATTTAGTCTCAACGGAGTAATTCTTTGAAGAGGCTCCGCATTGTGTGTATTTAAAAACAAAATCTGTGTGGAGAAGCCTTTTTCTCCCCTCATTTGAAATGGCAATTTAAGGTCTTATGAAGGAGTGATCTGTTCTATCAAACACTCATATGCAAGTTGGCATTTGAAAATAACAATCTAGAGATAGCTATCTGGAAGTCAATAAGCACACGCTAAAAAGTTTTCCATCTTTTATTATACTTTTTTGCCCCCCCTGTTAGAAGAAGAAGAATTCTACTCAAAACACACAAGAAGTTTAATTCACGGTTCATTTTACAATGTGGAATGAAAGTAAAAATGTGCTTCAATTCCAAGTATCTGCACTCTTGGTAGGCAAGGGAAAAAAAGCACTTTATTTTCCTCCTTAATTGTTGTGTTCTTGAAGTGACTGAGCCAAGAAAAGCTTGCCCAGATTCTGAGCTGTGAATTCCTTGATGTTCCGGCTGTAACTATTAATTTGACCTACGAAGAAAAGAGATGGGGAGAGAGAGAAAAAAAACAAAAATACTTTAATGCAAAATCAAATATTTTAATATAAAACTTCCCATCTAAACAACATAGTTTCTGATTCCATTTTCTTCATGTTGATCAGAGCTCATACAATACACCATGCCCAAATAAGTAAACTGTATATAACTTGTCAGAGTGTGCACAGCTTTACTATGTGTGTGAACCCAGGAGCAATAACAGCAAACAGAGGTTTGTAAGAAATAGTGATTTGATCTACAAAAGAATATATACTATACATACATACTTGTTGTGGCCCAGCAGGAGCCGTTGGAGCTGCCACCAGACTCCGACAGCGAGGGGCCCTATGAGTCAGCCCTGGAGGACCCTGGACAGGGTTCCGACTCTGAGCAGGGCGCAGAGAGACTGGTTGGCTACCAGGTGGCGCCTGAGCTTTGGATCAGAGGGGAGGAGACAAGGGAGAGTGAGCCAGACGCTAGCAGTGAGTTGTTCCTGGATGACCGGCACCGAAGAGCTAATAGGTGTCAGAAACAGTTGCGCAGTTATAGGAGGTAATTGCACTCAATTGGTGGTCATTAGGCTCCTCTCCAGACTATAAAAAGACTACTTGTGCACATGCCCTTCTTGCAGAAGTCAACACTTGGACTAGAGAGAAACTAACTTGGCAGGCTGGATTGCTGCCAGAGTTAGTCTGAATTG